TACTTCATTTTTTAGCTCAAAACAACCAGCACCGCCTTGTTAAATTCACGCTTCATCTCAAGTTATCATTCATTGTGTTACATGTGCAAAGACAACCAGTTAACTTAACCACATTTAAATCCTCAAACTACGAGCTTATTGTGAAAATGGGATGAACCTTGTTTTACCCCTTATTTTAATAGGAGCTTGCACATCTGTGGGAAAAGATGCGGCAACGAAATATTTCCAAAGAAGATCGATCCAAGTATGTAGTTATAATGCAATTCTACCTCAATCATCTCTCTCTTTATAGCTACATTCTTCATGTGCTTATTCTTGTTATCTATGAACCTTGGTAAGGTTGGTGAGTGAAGCGGTAGAGAAAATGAAGGGGAAAATTCCTGAAATCGCAAGCTCCCATGTGTCTTCTCGTGTTCTGCAGGTTTTTATCTTCATGTATCAAATATTTTGAAGTTTGAAGTTTTTGTTTTCTTTTAGTAGCCTGTACTTATGTGCTCTTTTACCTTAGACTTGCATTAAGTACTGTTCACAAGCTGAAAAGGATGCAGTATTTGAGGAGCTTCAGCCACATCTTCTTACTCTTGCATGCAACACGTATGCTGTTCATCTGGTGACCAAAATGTTAGACAATGGTATGGTTCAGCTTAGAAGTATATGTGTATAAACTGTAGTCTTTGACTTTCATACAAATTTATTATAGTTTGAATATCATTGGTAGTAGTAACCTTTTAGTTTCTGAGAAATTATTAAGTTGTTACCTTTTCTTTATTTGGAAGCCTCCAAAATGCAGCTAGCGGCATTTATCTCATCTCTCCGAGGACATGTTGCTTCCCTTCTTCGTCACATGGTTGGTTCTGTAGGTATGTTAGATGCTCTCTGCAGTACTTGGAGATATATCTCACAATATCCAACCAACCATTTTTGTTTCCTTTCTCACACTCTAAGCAGTTATAATATTATTGCTATATTCTAAATCCTCTTATAGTCGTTGAGCATGCATACCAATTGGGAAATGCAACTCAAAAGCATGAACTTTTGGTGGAACTATATTCTACGGAGCTTCAGTTGTTTAAGGACTTGGTCTCGAAGAATGAGGGCAGGTAAAGGAACAGCTGTAGAACCATTTTACACGAATGTAATGTTATCACATTCTCATTGCACTTTGTATCAAATTTCAGGTTACTAGATATAATTTCAAAGCTAGATCTGCAGAAATCTTCAGTGTTGCGGCACATGACCTCAGTGATTCAACCAATTTTAGAGAAAGGAATAATTGATCACTCTATAGTACACAGGGTGTTGATAGAGTACTTCACAATAGCTGAACAGGTGTGATTGAGATATTAATTGCAAATTATCATTTCCTGAACATCCCAATTCCTTGGCCTACGATATCAAGTTTTTGTCTTCCCTTTACTTGTAATTTTGTCTATAGTACACAGGGTGTTTACTTGTAATTTTGTCTCCCCTTTCTAAATATCAAGTTTTTGGTTTTAAGTTCTCTGCCACAGATGTAATTAAACAGTTGTCGGGCCCACTTCTTGTTCGGGTGATCCACACAAAGGATGGATCTAAGGTTGGGATGCTCTGTGTCAAGCATGGCAGTTCAAAGGTAGATTGTTATCATATCAAGTGCAAATTGATGTCAGTTGACTAAATGCGTTGGAATTTTGGCTACTAATCTACATTATCGTTTAATTTCATGACTTGTATTTAGGAAAGAAAGAAGATAATCAAAGGAATGAAAGGCCATGTTCATAAAATAGCTCTTGATCAAGGTGGAAGTATGGTAAAGCTTTAGGAGACTTTATTTATTTTTTTCCTTTTTCATTATTTTAGCGCTAAATTTGTGATTTTGTGCATTCATTTTTTTATTTCTGTACTTCTTTCTGTATTGTTGCAGTTGTCTTCGTAAAGCTTACTATAATATTGTGCATATCTGAAATTAATACACTCTATACTTCCCAGGTGCTTGTTTGCCTCGTTTCAACTGTTGATGATACGAAGCTTACTACAAAGGTCTGCTTTTCTTGTGATGTTTGTTGCAGATAAGGTTTTATTGTTATTATTAATATTTTCACTGCTGGGGGTGGTGGAGGGGGAGGAGGGGGGTTGTGGTATATACAGATTTCTGGTGAACCTTTCTAATTCAGTTACTACTTTTTACAGGTTGTCATTCATGAACTTCAAGAAAATCTAAAGGATCTTGTTCTTGATAAGGTTATCATTTCTATCTACCGCCTAAAGGCTTGATCATGTTTTCATATCTACAATCTATAGTAACCCTATTTCAACTTACTCTCTACATTCCTAAGAGATGTTTTCTTTCAGAATGGAAGGCGCCCGTTACTGCAGTTACTTCATCCAAATTGTTCACGCTATTTGACTCCCGATGACCTGGCTTCCCTCAGTTTGTCTATCCCTTCTCTTTCCAACAAGGTAGATCTTTTATTCTCTTTTTGTAGAAATTAGAAATGTATTTGGCTAGTGATTCATATGCACAAGAACTTACTCTATTTCTAACGATTCCTAGGCTGGACATGACAATTCTGAGACAAAATCTTCGAAGGTTAACAACTCTGGTGAGGAGGGCAGTAGTGATTTGGAATTAGATGAAGCAGATATGAATGCTGAGGATGGTCTCCACTCAGTTGAGGGGGGAAAAAAGGATCCTGCCATTCGAAGGCAGGAGTTGTTAGTCCAGAGTGGGCTGGCTGAGGTTTGTTGCCTTAACACAAAACAGATTAACCAGAGATATTATTAGTGAAGTTGATTTGAAATTCAGCTCGACCGTTTTTTATACTAAGACTTGGACTTTGATGGGGTATGCATTGCAGAAGCTAGTTGATGTATGCATTACAAGTGCCGGGGAATTGCTTAGATCAAATTTTGGCAAAGAAGTCATATATGAGGTACATATTTCACTAGTTCCGTTTAATGCAGATACTTTTAACAATGAAATTTTTTTTAGCGTTCAACCCAATTTCCTGGCTCCGGTTCTCAAATGTGCAGCTTGAAATGTTGGAGAATTTTCGACACTGTTTGATTTTCGTGTGTTATAACTTTTGAATGTTTTGCAGGTTGCAACTGGGGGTGCCGGTGGAATTCTCCACCCAAGTTTGGATGACAAGTTGAGTGAGTTATATGAAACTATAGCATCTCTTGTAGCAGAACCGAAATCCCAAGAATCCAAAGAGGACTCAAAAGAGGAACACATCCTTGAAAATTTCCATTCCAGTCGGACCATAAGAAAACTAATCTTGGACTGCCCCACATTTGCTTCCACTTTGTGGAACAAAGCACTCAAAGGAGAGTGTGAGTTGTGGGCCCACGGTCACAGGTCAGCCTCTTTGTCTTGTTTCCCAGTATTCTGATGCTTGTGACTGAGCATAAGAAAGCATGTGATTCTTTCTTTTGTATTTATTTGTAATTTTCTTTTCGTCTTTTCACATGCAAGTTCTCGATAACATTACTCTTTAGAGAATAACACTTCAAACCCAATAGTTTAGCGAAAATACCCAACGGACTTGAAAATGGGCGAAACATTTCACAACTAATAATCAATCAGAGCACGACAAGTGGGTAGATGAGTTGTTTTTTCTTCAATTGAGCTACTGAAGTGTTTTTGTACAATACTTATAGTTGTCGGGGTGTTTTTGTCTAATTTATTATTTTCTTTCTCCGTGATTGCAGCGGAAAGGTAATTGCTGCATTCTTAGAATCCTCAGACTCTAAGGTCAATCAGCTGGCAAAGAAAGAGTTGAAGAAGTTGATAGACGGTGGCATTCTCAAAATGCCCGATCCAAAAGTAGCCACCGGAAAGAAGGAATGAGGAAATTGTGGTCTTCTATAGTCCCCAAGCCAAAACACAAAGTGACCCCAGCTCCACCTCCACGCCACCTGCCGGCAATAGCTCTTTTGACTGAATGTAGCTAAAGGCCAGCTTAAAATTTTTGTATTGAGTGTATCTCTTTATATTTTTACAATTTTGTAATGTGGGTGGTATAATCTAAGAAAATTATACATTTTGGTTTTGGTTAGCAAGATTCTGCGGATTCTAGCCAAAATGGTCCATGAGATTAGCGTAACTCTTCACTTGGTCCAGATTTGAAATCAATATAAGTGGTATTTGAGTTCGTCCACTATTAATCATTTTGGTCATTCGGCTAAAAATTCTGTTAAATAAGAATTAAATTGACAAAAATACTTTTAATTTTTATCAAACAATGGGCCAAAATGATTGGACAAAAATAAGGCTGTTTTTATCTTTTCATTTTATTTAACGTAGATTACCAAAAAGATTGATGGTGGACAAATTCAGAATTAATTTTGTTTATTTTAAATTCCAAGTACCAAAGTGAGGAGTTATGCAAATTTCAAGGACTATTTTAGTTAAAAAGCCTGCAACATATTTATGCAAATCCTACTTACGATGATGTTATTTACTTATGGCTAGTTTAGTATTGTTGTGCTTTTTAAAAAAAAACTGTTTTTGTTGTGCTATGAGAATAAACAGCTGTAAAATAAAGTTGTTGAGTGTTTGGTAAACTTTTATATAAATTGCTGTGAATATGTTAAATGACAAAAAATGATATGATATTTAATATGATATAATAATTGTTAAAGAGAATAATATAGGAATAATGATTGTAATTTTGTAAAATATGTTTGGATATAGTTGCCATTTGAAAATTTCATTGAATGCGCACTGACTATGCTTTGAAATAAAAAGGCATGGTAGACCTGCTTCTACTTGCCTATGTTTTCTACTATTATTGACAGCAGTTTGTTAAAAAAAAAAAAAGCACTTTTTTTTAATTTTACCAAACACATTTGATGTTCTAGATTTTTTTAATGAGCTATTTTTTATTATAAAACACCACAATCCCAAACCAACCCTTACTTGAAATGAGTAGTGGGATTATTCCGGTTTCGGGCCTCATGCATTTACTGACAAATACAGAAAATTTATGGGTACGTTATAATCTGTAATTCAATACTTAAAAATCAGGAATAAAATCCGATTAATGTCAAGTAAACTTGTCACTTTCTCAAGACATCCATGAATAATCGTATAAAAAGACGTTTCATTTTTTCAATTAATCAATGTAACAATCTACTTGCCTACTAGTCATGAACGAACACAAGTAGACCTACTCTTAAACATTCCTCTATCTGATCTGACCTCAAACACTGGAGAATCATAACCAGCTCTCCCCTGCTCATAATTCACTACATGATGCCCTGCTCTCAGCTGCCAAAACTTGATCGGTTTTTCGTATATTCGAGCCCGAAGATGAGGGTATCCCTGAACCTTATGTTCAGATGGATTGAATACAGGTGATTCTTTTGGGAACCTGCTACGAAACACATCAAAAGCAGCAGCAGGTGGACTAAACAGTGAGGAGGACTGTTTTCCTGCAGCTGCATTGGCCTTCAAGCAGTTTTCTATCACTCTTGCCTCCTCTCTGAATCTGCTGCTGATATCTTTCAGTCCCTTGATTACTTTGCAAGGCCTTGGATTAGTGGGATTGTAATGCTTGTGGTGTGAAGAAGGACTGGGATTGGCAGTGCTGGGAGAGTTGTGGTGGGTTGTCGTGTAGGGGATTGTGCCACAATCAAAGCAGAACTTCCTCCATCTCTCCAAGTCAAAAACTCTTCTTTTTGCAGTATCTGAGAGACATGAATATGCCTGCAAAAAAATTTAAAATAAAAAATTAGAAATTTGAGCTGGGTTCATAAGTTGAAATTGAATGCAGTCACATCATTAACACATGAATATGTTGTTGGGTGTCCAATCTGTGCTGTCAGGTTGTCACATGGGGCTCAACCTTCACCAAAGCACTTGTACCCCAATTAAGATGAGGCATAATATTTACTAAAATAAAGCCTTAAGGAAATGCTGTCAAAATAGGAAATAGTCTCCTTATATTGATACCATCTCGAGATGTTGTTTACGCTGTCGCATTATATCGGTAACAAATACGCTTAAGTTGTCAATTTGCTAATTATAGTGCTATTTGAAAAGAGTGATGTAATAATACTATAATAGTGTTATTTGAGAGATGATTTCACAATTCCGTTTGCTTCTTTTGCACTTCTCCTTTTTCGCCCCTCTATTCCTCTTTGATTTATTCAGTCTAAAGATTAAAAGAACATAGAAGAGTACATTACAAGGAAAAGAGAGTTCGGAAATCACAATCCAAGGTCCCAAAGTTTACATCATTGTAGAGGACAGAGGTGCAGCTGAAATTTGTGTTGAATATGGTTGTAATGGGTATGGTGAAGGAACAACCTCACCAAACTGCATGGAATTTTCAATTTTCTTCCGCATACATTGACCGTTGTTAACTTGTGGCATAGAGAAAATTGAGGCAACAACACACAACCAAAATGGTGGACATGGGGAAGAGAAGAGAACAATTCTAACCTCAGAAACAAGCTTGAATGCAATTTCAGCTTTTGGGTGCTTGTTCTTATCTGGATGAAGTTGTAAAGCTGCACACACAAAAATAAATAAGTAAAAGATCCCAACCATAAATAATCACCAACCAATCAAACATATGTAAAATGGCAATGTTTTACCCAAAACCTACCAAGTTCATGATATCTCTTCCTTATAACATCCGCCCCAGCATTTTCCTCCACCTATGAATGCCAAATTTTCACAGACATCCATAAGCAATCTTGAAATTTTACAAAATGGGTTTGCATTTTTAACCAAGATGGTGCGAGAAAACGTACTCTAAGAAGGCGATACCAATCGACGAAAGACGACGAACGAACCGGGCTGCTGCTGCCGCTGCCATGCCTGTGGGAGCAGGCAATGGCACGCGTGGAAATGGAGCAAATCTCAGTCACCAGCTGGGATTTCAAATCGGAATCCTGCCCCATTTTTCTCTCCAACAGAGAAAATGGAAAAGAATGAGAAAAAATGTTTGAAAATTGAATTGTTGGATTTGGTTTGGCGAGAGAGAGAGAGAGAGAGAGGTGGAGCGGTTTAGAAAAGAGCTCCCTTGGACTTGGTGGGAAAACGGGGGAATAAGAAGGGGTCGTCCCTAAATCTTGCCACGTGGAGGAATTTGAGGAGTTGTAGCCAGACATTATTGTCTTTTTGTTTTTTTCACTTAGCTTGGATTTTAGGGTGCGTTTGGTACGCAGACGGGACGGGACGGGACGGAACGAAGGTGTAATTTTTGAAAAAGACATGGGGTATATTTGTCTTAAAATGGTAAAACATTGTGTTCCACAGACGTGGAACAAACCCGTTCCAGGGGGGAGGTGGAACGCAAAAACACCCACAATCTGTCCCGTGGAACAGCCCGTTCCACCCATTTTTGGCGCACCAAACGCGGGACGGAACGCCTCGTCCCGTTCCGTCCCGTCCCGTCCCACGTACCAAACGCACCCTTAAGGTTCGAATTTAAACAAAAAGCAATTTGTAGGGTCGCTCCACAGATTTCAAGCAATTCATCTTTTATGACATCTTGACGTAGTTAAGTTGTCGCAATGTATGTAACCTCTTTTTATTCAAGTTCGAAATCATAGTATTGAACATTGATTGAATATTTGAATATTACCACTTTAAATTAATTGTGTATGCAATTAAAATCTATAACAAAAAAAAATTAAGATGTTTAATGAACATGTAGGACGATATAATCCATGTAGCTTCCCGTTTAAAAAAAAAGAAAAAAGAAATAGTTGAGAAGACGAGTATCACTAGATTAAGAGCTACGTAATAACTAATAATCTGACACAAATGTTAATAATAACATGGTCATGATATATATATATATATATATATATATATATATATATATATATATATCACACCCTCCCTTACTAAAATATATATAAGATTGATAAAGATACTTATCAAGGTTCCTTCGGGGACATCCGATCAAATTGTAACGATCGTGATACTTATCAACAATATGATACAAGAATTTGAAAACCAAACATTTTCCCAAGCAAGAATTTAAGATGAAGAATATGGTGGGTGAATATTTTGGCTACAATGAAACTATTTTGTTAATTGAAACATGTGGGCTTCTTGAGAAGAACTTAGCGATGAGAGGTCATTGTACACATGTCAGTGTCCAGATTAACTGCCTTAAACTCATCCAACCAAAAGGGCTATTTATAAATGGAGGGTCCCGAAAATTGAATGTTTGCAGTTGGAGATGGCAACACCAACAAAGGCATCCAAATAAAGTTGAAGCTCATGATGAACAGTCCCATAGAGTGAATGAATTCTCTCACTTTTAATTAGTAGGCTGACAGTGAGGGATTTATACGTAGCTCAATTAGTTAAGAACATTCATTTTTGTATTTGATGTCTCGAGTTCGATTTTCCCCTCTTGTACCCACTTATTTATTTGTTTTAGAAACATAAGAGATCAGATTCGTTCATCAGTTGGATTATTGTTATCCTTAATAGCTACACATTGATGTACTATGTGATGTGACAAATAATGTGTACAACTAACATTTAATAAGATAAACTCATTATTAATTGATACATACACGTCATATGATACAAAAATGTGATATCTGTAACGTTTTTGTTTCTCAATATATAAGAACCATGCAAATTAATATTGATATTGAATCTCATAAGAAGTTAGACGTAAAGAAAGAAGGCTAGTCGGTGGGAAAATGTGGTCAGCTGCATATATAATGCCCAGTTGAAACTTTGGCATAAATTGGCAATCAAGAGTAGGTGAAAAAGAGCTTCCTAGCACTACTCCACCTATAGGGTCCTTAATTCAATCAAAATCCTGTGCTGTTTTTCTTAGATTTTAATCTGAATATTTTTTTCTATTATTATGAGTTTTGAAGAAAAGCTAGGCTCAACTATGTTGCAACTCGATCGAAATTTTTTTACCATGCATGAATGGCTTCAACCGGCAAATGTATATTTATATATGTGTGTATGAATACCTATTATACATATATATTTGTAGTTATTATATGCATCAACGGTTGACAGTCATGCTGCATGCAATTACGTTAAAAATAAATCTTAATGCTAGCTAAACTATTACGCAAATAATTAGGGTTTTAGCATTGGTATAAGAATTTAATAAAAGAGTAGGTTATGGTGGTTGTAGGATCTGAAAGGTATGATTAGCATATGATATGATGATGGACCCCTGAATACAAGGGAAGGCAGCTTTTGAAAAGGGACAAGAATTGTCTGCTCTTCCACTTTTGGTGCCCTTCTGTACCCTCATGTTTGTGTGGTTACGGTTAAACCACGTCAACATTTTATATTACTATTTATTTTTGTCTTATTATCTATATAAAAAAATAATATAAAATGTTGACGTGGTTTAACCGTGACCACATAAAACAGAAGAGCACGAGAGGACACCGAAAATGAGAGGGCAGATAATCCTTGTCCTTTGAAAAGGCAACCTATTTACATTGCCCGATGCCAAATTGCCAGTGATCTCTCTTTTTCCACCCTGTCTCCTAGAATCTGTCTTAATACTTGCAATCTTGGCGTTTGGAATTTGACCCTTTGCCATTCTTCATTTGCAAATTAAAGCATCAAAGGTATTGGATTTGGAGCCTTTGTTTTGAGATTCGCGAGCCTCTTTGTGAATTGGTTGGATCGTGTAGTTGTTTTATTTGGAGGAAATTCAAATTTTAATGTCCAAATCCCATTAGGGGCTAATACATAGGCCAATACCAAGTGCATTGGTTTTATCTTTTTGGGAAAATTTCAATGCATTTTATGTTGCTCAATGTAATATTTCAAGATTGGCAGCACACAATTGATATATCAATCCACATAAAATTGACATATTGATTAGAATTTCTATCAATCTTCAAATTTTGTTACGTGACTTTTCACTTAAAATTTGGTATGAAGTAAATGCAGTTAGACCCAAAATTTGACCAACACTTTGGGCTGCATGGCTTTACTAGAAACGATCTATAATTTAATTGTTTTCAGTGTGCCAAGAATACAGTCTGGTAGACCAATTATCATAATACAAGTGGTTATAATTTTTTTTCAAGTATTCATTCACTTGTATTATAACACTTGATGTACCGAGCTGTATTCTTAGCACATTGAAAAATCTTTCCATTTAGCTTCCTTCGTTTTGAGGGAAATAGAATCTGGGATAAAAAAAGGACAACAAGCTTAAATAGACATTATTAAAATTTAAAACCGACCAATTAGTTCTCTGATGGTAAAATAGACTGTAAACAACATAAAATACTTATACCGTTAGTATGCGAATCAAAACCAATGAGACTGAAGTGACTATAAATACAAATGTACCAATTTATGTGTAGTAAGCAAGGTATAAAATATTGATGATATCGGAAATATCGGTAGTCCAAAAACACGGAAATATTGATGGAAATATCGGGATATTATCGATATCGATACAAATTGAATAAAAACCACCGAAATTGTAAGAAAAACTTGGAAATTTTAATTGAAACTTTGCAAGATGTTTATTTAGTCAATTATCTATTAGTTTATCACAAAAAATTGGAAGGAAATGTATTGCATGATGAATTTAACTGATTTAAGTTGATTATATAGCGAGCTGACAAATATTGTAAGTGTAGAAAATATGTAGTAATTAATGAAAGAAATTTAAACACACCATAATCATTTATATATAATGAATTAGTACAATATTTTACACTTTATACATTGCATGGTAAAATACATGAGTGACTTAGTATCATATAGAGTTCATATGAGGTTCAAATTTTTCACTATCTTCATTATCTCTATGTGTAGAGTAAGTGTATTGTGAAGAGTAGTTATCAAATGATAAATCCCCAAAATAGTTTTGCATGTGATGATCTGATACTCCACCTCTGAGAATGTGAAAGAATATCACGCGTGGCACACGGTTTTGAATGAAACCACCATTATTTTTGTCCATGGTATGAAATTGTACAAGTTGTCAGGGTTTTGAATTATTTGGATGGTTTTGAATTATTTGGATGCTTTTGAATGAAACCACCATTATTTTTGTCCATGGTCTGAAATTGTACAAGTTGTAATTGTAAAAGTTGTCAGGGTGCAAACCACACACACACACACACACGCCACCACACACACACACAGACATCCACACACACACACAGACTCTCGATCCTTCTCTCTTCTCTCTTCTCCCACACACACATATAGAGATCTCTCGATCCTTCTCTCTTCTCCTTTCTCCCACACACACGCACAAAGACCTTAGTCTTTCAATCCTTCTCCCACATGGCCTTATGCTCCTCCCTCGCCTTCCTCCTCGTCCGCGTATTCCGCCTCGTTAGCACTGCCTCTCTCTCGAAAATCTCATCTCTCTCATTTATCTCTGCATCGAGACCTACATACACACACGCACACCATCACACCCGCTTGAGGAAGACACCCATCGTCATCAGCAACCTTGTCTTTCTCCCTCTCCTTCTCGTCTCTGCAACTCGGCGAACGTAGGAACCCTCCGGCTAGTTTCTTGAATTTCTCCGGTTAGGTAAGCTTCGGGTTTACCTCTTTTTGTTCTAGATTGAAGCTTAGATGTGAAATTTAAGTTCTATCTTGTGTTTTTGCAAGGTTTTTGGGACGAAATCGGCTCGGGAACAAGCACACCCATCTCCGGCGAGGCCGTGGGTGTCGACGAACTTTCCGAACACCTCCGACCGTTTCACGGCAAACAGAAGTTATAAAAACATTCCTCTCGTCTTGTATTTCATTTTGATACCTAGATCGGAGTCTAGGGTGCACTTTTACAGTCGGCCGGAGCTGTAGAAGCTCCGGCATTCTTCTCCGATTCGCACATCTCTAAAATATCACGATATTATCAGTAATATCACGATATTATCAGTAATATCGCGATATTGTCGATATTATCTATAATATCGTGATATTTTGACAAAACCTCAATGGATAAGTATTAAAATATCGGTAATTCAAAAAACCGATATTATCGGCGAAATATCGCCGATAATATCGGCATTTCATACCTTGGTAGTAAGTTATGGATTTTCTGTTTTTATCGTATAAACTTGCACAAGTAAAATGTCGGCATGTGCACACCGTAGCAATACATTGGACACCATTTACAATCAGTATCTAATGTTTCGTCCTTAAAAGCACAAAATGTTGGTTGACTGGATCCTAATGTTGATTCAGTCATTCTTTTTAGAATGCACTAAACACACAAAGTTTTAGGCCTTGATTTTTGTTTGTTTGCTTAGGTTAGCTGAAACTTGAAGTTGGAGGACATGCGAGTGGTATATCACCAAAATGAAGCCATGAGCACCGTGCTGCAACAACCAAGACTCTGTATTATAACATTCCAGTTCACATAATAAAATATTGTCCGCTTTGGGCCACGTCCTTACGGAGTTGTACTTGGGCTTCCACCCAAAACACGTCTCATTATAGGAAGGTGGGCACGTACATATAAGGCACATCACCCCCTCTTTCCCGAACGATGTGGGATCTCACACGTATTATAAGAATCTGCAACTCGGTGCATTGAAGATCCTCTAATGATATATAGTGGAACCCTGAAGCTATTGAACATAGCGACGTAATATGTAAGTGAACTTTGAAATTTGGTAACATGTTGAATTGCAAGATGATTATTTCTTCTTATGTTGAAAATGCAAAATATATGAATTTTCTTTTTCGTCGTAGGGCTGGCTAATAAAGTGAAGAAAAAAAAATGCAAAAGAAAAAGGAATTGTTCGAACCAAACCATATATAATTTGATTTGATATCTCTATATACTAAAACCCAACCACGTGGTACTGTGGATGACCAGTGGGTGGACGAATTTGCCCCTGTAATTGTCTTCTGTTGTTCTTCTCTGTGGTTTTTAGAGTGGGAAAATGTCGGTTTTGTCCACATTGGACACGTGTTGATCATCGGCAGAATGTCTTTCTACTTTTCTTTAGTTTCTTTGCCTCACTTTTTCATTTTTCTCTGTTCGTTTTTCTTTCTTCGTTTTCTTGGTTTCTCCCGCTCTTCGCTTTCTTCCTTTTCTGGATATCTGCCGTTCTTCGCTATTGTTTTCTGCCATTTTTTAACCTTTGGTGGCTTATCTTTTGTTAATCTTTGTGTTTGCAGGTGTGGAGCCATTTTTCAAAGGAAAAAAAATTCATCGGCCGGTGAAGGTTATTTAGCTTGGTGGGTTGGGTTATACGGATCTTCAGCTTGGTGAATGTAATTTCTCCTGGTGAGTTTTTTTTGTTTTTTTACTGCAGGTGTTTGGTTTTATTTTGTCTGATTTTAGATTTTACCAGTGGGTTTCTTATTGAGAGATGTGTTTTCAAAATTTTGGGCTTTTGTTGTTGTCAGTCAGTTTATGGGTATGAGATTTCGATTTCTGTTCCGTGTGGATTGTTTTTCTATGGTTTAGTCATCTAGGAAAAGAACCAGGTTTCATGTATGGGTGTTCGCCATCTGAGAAGGGAAACATGAATTCTGTTTGATTGGAGGTTGGTTGAGTGTGGTCCATATTGTATGGATCCTTTGTATTTGAAGCAAGATTTTGATAAAATTTGAGTATTTTTTTGCAAGTGATTACTTTTGTGTGTTCCAGCACTCTATGCATATTTTTTAATAACGTATCAACAATTAGGTTTCCATAATCTTAATGACTTGCAAAGATGTGTTCCAATTAGTCTGTGAACTTCACTATTGTATAATATTTCAATTAGTTGAATATATTTTTTAACTAATTTTAGTGTCAGATTGTTTTGGGTATCTAAGTAAGATTGGGAAAGAAAAGGAGATTGTGGAACTTTCATGGTTGAGGTTTGTGATTTTATGTATTAGTTAAATTCTAAATTTTTAATTAAGTTCACTCAATATATTCACATTTGTGTATATTAGTGTAGTTCCAGCACTCTATACGTATTCTGCCCTGTAGCATGTACTCATGCAGTTCCAACTTTTCTACAAGCTCGATACAGGGAAATGAACCTTTATGTTCAATAAAAAGGTATAATTTTTTTCCCACTTTTGTGTATATTAGTGCTTTTTGTTATGATTTAATGAGTTCGTGCTTTTGTCGCTTAAGTAACATGAGAATATGTTTCTATTACCAACTATGGATTACAATCGACTATCTTAACCAATCAGATTAAAGCTCCACCAAGGTTTGCTTGCTGTATTGTGTTTTATAATCTCTCACTCTCACTTTCCCTCAGTTTGCTTCATATGAATGTGACTGCATATAGACCACATATGCTAAATCAGTAAATAGCAAAGACCTCTAATGCATGTACTATTGACAATGAAGCAAGTCGGATTACCATGTAGAATTAGATTTGTGCACACTCATTTGATTTCTCATTTGGCTTCTTGATTAATTATTATAAAGATTGTGAAACTTTTTGTGCCTAGATTTCTGTTTTGCAATTTTTCTTTGCATCTGGACCACTGCATTTTAAAAGTGTTAAGGGTGAGATTTAAATGCTCAAACACTCTATTTTTTTTCCAAATATATACCTTTCGTTCTGTTCGGTTTTAAATGTTAAAAACTAAATGGTTATTTGGATAAAATGGTTTATCAGTTTATGTTATGTGTTGTAATCAGGAATTCAATTGGATTGGGTAAAATGCTTTGTCAATTTATGTTATAGGTTTGTGCTTTCAGAAAGGGGTGAATGGGGTTTTGAAAGAAACCTGTCATTTGTGCGATGATATTTGATACCGCAAAGGGGGGTGTGCACACAATGAAATAAGTGGAAGTCCATTTTCTCAATAATGTAATAAGCCCTATAGTTCTTCGGACCATGAATTGGCTTTGGGGATTTGGGTTGATGAGAGACATGATGAGTTTTTTCGGTTTCGATTTTTATTACACAAATTTTCAATTGGATTGTGTTCTACCTTTCAAATATTTGCACCGTACTTATGTAAGGAATTCCTTCTTTTAAATACAATGTTAAGACTGTCGGGTTGCAGCGTAGATATAAAGTTTTAAGGTGAGATAAAATTGAGTTAGCAAGGGTGCAAAAATGATTTACAACTTGGGGTGAGAAAACAGAGGCAAGATAGAAGCGTGTGAGAGAATTTTTTTGGGACTTACATGGTGATTTGTGATGTGTTTAAGAAATTTGGTCTGTGAGTTTTATTACTCATCGTTTGGTTTTTTTCCTTTGCAGGGTGTCTTTATGCTGGGATCATCACAGCTTACGCATCTTTTCAACCTTTAAAGTCCTTCAGGGTAAGATTTAGGTAGCAAAATAGTTGATTGAAAATTTGAAACGAAGAGTTGGCTTTCTTTTTGTTGAACTAATTTAAACTGCTTGGGTGTAAGATTTAGATAATGAAATAGTCTGTTGATGCACAAAACCGGATGGTCTTGGTACAACGTAAATCCGACCGTGAATCTGCATAAAATGTAAATGACACAAGAGTTATCGTGGTTCACCCCAAGGTTTGGGCTACGTCCACATTGAATATGTATTTCCCTGAGAGTATTTGTGTGAGAATGAGCTCTGTAAATGAAGAGCTTTGAGAGGGGGTGAGAGGTTTAGGGTTTGTGAGGGTGAGGAGGCCCTTTTATAGAATAAGGGCTCCTCCCCTAATTACATATTTGCCCATTCCTTTATTACGTAATTACATTTAAGTCCCTCGAGTATTTATACGAGGTCTAAATACGAGGCCCTAAATATGGTATAAACAGTAGTCCCCAAGTCTTCAGTCAAGAGAGTCTTTTGGCTGGAGACTTGAAATTCAGTCCATGTGTGGGCCGAAGTAACTAGATGCTGTTCTTGAACTAATGTTCGATATAAGGCAGTGCTCAATCTGAAATGACGCTCAACTAGAAGTAGCACATGCTGCGAGGCTGCTCGGCTCGTGGCTTATGTTGCCTTGGTTAGCTCGGCTTGCGGCGTTTGAAGGTGAGGGAGTCCATTTTATAGAATAAGGGCTCACTCCTCAATACATGGATGATGGGTTAGAGTTGATACTCTCTAATGGTGGTGAGGGGAGTCCCTTTTATAGAATAAGGGCTCGTTCCTCAGTACATGAATAATGGGCTAGTTGATGCTGGCGGCGAGGCGGTTGCTCAGCTGGCGGCGTTGCTCTCTAATAATGGTGATGGAGTCCCTTTTATAAAATAAGGGCTCGCTCCTCAATACATAAGTGATGGGCTAAGTCCCCCAAGTATTTTTTCATGAGGCCTAGTTGAGGCCCAATATATGGTACATAATGTAGTCCCCCAAGTCTTCGGTCAATAGAGTCTGTTGGCTGGAGACTTCAAATTGAATCCATGTATGGGCCGAAGTGGCGGTTGTTCGGAGGCGGTATTTGTATATCCTGCACTGAAGCTTTGTAGGTGAAGCTTTGCAAGTGAAGCTTTGAAGCTGGAGCTCTGTAAATGAAGCTTTTGAAGCTGATTGACATGAGTGATGCTCATGAATGTTTATGTTGATTGACATGAATGATGCTCATGGATGTTGTCACGAATGATGCTCATGAATGTTGACATGAGTGATGGTCATGGATGTTGTCATGAGTGATGCTCATGAATGTTAACATGAGTGATGTTTATGAATGTTGACATGAATGATGGTCATGAATGTTTATGTATGATTGTCATGAGTGATGCTCATGAATGTTTATGTATGAATGACATGAGTAGTGCTCATGTATAATTTGGAGTACTAGGCGTACTTTTGATCACCTGGTTGGTGGCATGAAGGAGAGTACGAGTTGTACATTTCATCACCTGGTTGGTGGCATGAATGGCTAGTTGCCAAATTAGAGTACGGGTTGTACATCTCATCACCTGATTGGTGGTAATGAATGGCTAGTTGCCAAATGATTTTAGAGTACGGGTTGTACATTTTATCACCTGGTTGGTGGTAATAACGGCCGGTTGCAGAATAATTGTGGAGTACTTGACGTACTTTTGATCACCTGGTTGGAGCTATTTTGGGTTTCTGGACCTTCGCCCTCTACATAACATTCCAGCCCATTTATTTTGGGCTTTGCCTTTTTTTTTTTTTTTTTTTTTTTTACCCTCTGATGGGGTTTATACATATTACCCTCTGATGGGGTTTATACAGATGTCTCTGAAAGATAATAAAAATAAATTACATCATTCTAGTGGAGTGTTTATTTCTTACTTTTGCAGTGTTTTCATGTGCCTCTCTTTTGCTTTCTCTTTATTTATTGATTATTTGCGTTGTCCGAGGCCTTTCTTTTTGTTGGATAAGACCGAATCTTGAAGCTTTTTCTGGATGGACGAAATGTTGGAATCCTTCTTTTCGGATTTGGACTCCAGTTTCTTAATTGTGGCAAGCAGGTGGCAGACAGCCATCATATCATTAATAATAAGAAAATTTATTATTAACTTATCTTCTGCCTGTCTTCCACTACTGTCTTCCTCATGTGCGCTCATCTTGAATGCCCGTTTCTTTTGTGGAGGATGAACAAAGTTTGATGCGGAGCAACTGAGGGTGCCCCTGTCGGACTCATTTTCCGGAAAGAAAAATGCAGAAAAGAGAGAAGCCACCGACGCGATCCCTACTGAGAACTCGAGGTTGTCCCCACTCCGAATGATCTCGACGATGTCGAGCCACATGAACAGAACCTTGACGCCGACCCCGGTCCACGATGGGAGCTTGTTCGGAGAGATTGTGCCAGTAATGGTGGACTTGGACTTGAGCTGGTCGAACCGTGGGGAGTTGCGTAATAGACGAATAGCTGGTTGGGTTAAGTCGGACCGGGAATTGAAGAGAACCTCTGTTTAAACACCGCGAAATTAGTAAGGAAACAGGATCCGGATCCACGACCTTGGTCGAACACCAAGATGACGATGGTTTTGATGGGTTGCTGCTGTTGGGTAGAGCAGAAATTTGTTGGCCGGAAAGTCGATGAGAGGAACTGGGAGTGCGGGCCACCGGTGGTACCTGCTCATTTTCTCAGGCGGTGCTCTGGGGGTGTGCTCTGACCTAGGTCGTTAAGTGGTGCCACAACGTCAACAACATAGGAAGATGGCCTAAATTTGTTTATCCAGGAGTCGGCGAATGTGTTGGGTCTGAAAGCCCACAACTCCATCCTGCTCGCCACGTTCTCTGACGACGTCATTAAGCAGCTCAATCAACTAAAAATTCAAAATTTAAAAGAAAAAGTCCTAAATAATTCAGCAGGGGTATTGAAGGTGATTTTTTTAGTTGGAGGGTCATCAACGTAAATGTTACTGAGCTGCACCCACACCAAAAGCTCCTTAGTCTTCACCCCTGTCAGCTTTAAATGTTACTGCGCTGCCCTAAATATGGTTCAGCGGTAGGTCAAGAAACACAGCGGACGATGAGTGATAGAGGGAAGATGGATCTTCGCTGGTTGGATCTGACGGTGACGGTCACCTATGGATCTGACGAGCAGCAGCAGCTGGAGATGAGGTTTCAACAAGGAATTCAAGGCCTCCAGCGATTCTGTTATCGGAGAGGATAAGCTTCTGGAGATTTTGAAGCCTCGGGAACTGCTCCAGGGATGAAACATCGATGTTTGAGATCAAGAGGTGCTGAAGGTTCTGAAACTTCTCTAGAAGGCTCAGAGGGGGTAGGCGAGGTGGAAGACGCCGGAGCAGCAACTGTCAATGGCGAGTTTGGAGTTGTGGTCGAGGAGATCACCTCTTGCTGGGTCTATGGTCCTCCCATCTCTTCATTTCGGGGATATCAACTTTGATCATGCCGAAGCTCCTTAATCAGATTCGCGTCCATCATGAACCTTGCCTCATCTAGTCCCTGCTTTTTGAGCTCCTCGACGATGAGAATTTCAAGAGCCAGACCGGAAAATATCCTCTGATTTACTTCGGGAAAAATTTCAGGATTTACCGGTGCGGAGTCGTGGGGGAAGTAGGCTGCGTCTTCTTGTCCGGAGACCAAGGTAAGGCAGAAGCTGCTGCAGAAGTTCTAAATAACCTGGGTGAGTGTGATGATCCAGTCATCCTTGTGGGCACCCATGTAAATGCTAATGCCACCACATGGCGGTGATGCAGAAGAAGATGGTGATCCCTGAAGGAGCGAGCAAGTGCAAAGCAGAGTTTGTGATTGAACGGTGCTCAGAAACCGTCGTTGGGCTTCAGCATCAGGTGAGTATGGTTGGTGACAGTCGCGAAGAGGTAACACAGAGCCATACAAAGTAGCTACTGTGCAGATTTGGAGGTTTGCCGATGTTGAAAGATAACACTTTGAAGAAAGGAAGACTGGTGAAGTTTGAAGGACAATGCTTTAAAGCAGTGCACGCATATACGCACATAGTGTGTGCTTTGGTCTGGATGGGGCTTGGTTTTGGGCCAATTGAGATTTGGACCCTTCTGAGACAGAGTAGAGAAGAAAGAAGAGGAGGGTGGGGGTCGGTGTCTCTTGGGTTTTGCAGATCCACGGCGGAAGTGAAAAATTGAGAGATGACCGACGTAGCTTTTTGTGTCGATTCCCACAGACGGCGCCAAATGTTGATGCACAAAACCGGATGGTCTTGGTACAACGTAAATCCGACCGTGAATCTGCATAAAATGTAAATGACACAAGAGTTATCGTGGTTCACCCCAAGGTTTGGGCTACGTCCACATTGAATATGTATTTCCCTGAGAGTATTTGTGTGAGAGTATTTGTGTGAGAAGGAGCTCTGTAAATGAAGAGCTTTGAGAGGGGGTGAGAGGCTTAGGGTTTGTGAGGGTGAGGAGGCCCTTTTATAGAATAAGGGCTCATCCCCTAATTACATATTTGCCCCTTCCTTTATTACATAATTACATTTAAGTCCCTCGAGTATTTATACGAGGTCTAAATACGAGGCCCTAAATATGGTATAAACATAGTCCATTGAAAAAGAGTTTAAAGAGCACAGTGTTTAATATCGTTTAAAGCTTTTACAAAGATTTAAAAGCTTTTGTTATTAATTAAAGCTTAATTATGAATTCAACCATATATTTACTTTTAATCCATGATGTAATACTAAATTGAAGTGTGTGATTCAATTACCTTTGTTAAAATTTGTATTTTTTTAATTAAAGATCAAGAACATTGACAATGACAATTTTTTTCAATGGTCAGGCATTTCGTTTGCTTTCGTTGTCAAACAACATTGTCTGGTGATTGTCAAACAGTGTCTTCTGTTTTGAATAAGTGTGTTTTCTTCTAATTATTGTTGGTGTTGTGTTTTATGATACATATAACTTTGGTGTATAAGCTAACTTATATTCTTCCAAGTACTGGTAATTATGCAATTTTTTTTAACTATGTTTTTTTAAACTTTCACCGGTGATTTAACCTTTGTTAATCAATATTGTATTTTGGTGTCATATTGTTCTGTGAAAGTTGTGTTCTAACAATGGGCTGAAACTATAATATTTCGGTGTTGTATCAATGTTTGATGTAAATAATGACAACGCATTGCAAAGACAAATAAAAACATGTTTGATGATAATTATCCATTCGATTATTACATGCTTTAGTGAGTTTCTTGCCAAATGAACCTCACTTTCTCTCTAGCAAATCAACTCTGTTTCGATTAAAAAAAATTTAAATGAAAAAGGCTGGGTTTTATATTCTGATTCACTGTGTTTTCTTCTAAATATTATTTTTCCCCCGGTTTATGATATGGATAACTGTAGTTGGATAATAATGTGAGCTCAGCTATATTCTTCGAAGCAGTGACCAATGAGGAAGTGTGTAGAATTGTAGAAGTAAATAAAAGTCTCAATCTTTAAGTTGCTCTGTGCACAATGAAATTGAATTTTGATTTTGTGTTTCGGCATACCCTTACTAGAATTTTGTGATTTCGAAATTATAGAAGTTAGTGGCGATTCGAAACCAGTTAACTGGGATGAGAATTAGAGTGATTTGAAATCGGAGAATAAGGAATTGCAGGATATAATGGTAATGGTGAGGATAATATGATGATAACACAAGTTCACTATTTTGCAGAGATTTTTGAAGACTGATATTTTTTTTTTCATTTTTGCATTTTTTAACAGGTGGTGTTCTGATTTTTCATTCCTTCTCATCACTTCTACAAGAGGTATGTTTCTGACCGAGAAAAATTTCCAGATCTTCTCTCCTCATTAAACTTTCCTTAGGATTGTGAAAAAGCAAAGGGGTTGATTGGAATGATGGTTACCAGGAAATTCCATGTGCTCAAAACCCAATTCGATTCCGTTGCTAAGAGTTTGTTGAGCAAGTCCCTGTACGGAAACATGGTTGGAGTCGTTGGTTCTATGTGGGTTCTGGGCAGCAGCTACTTTTTCTTTGTTTTTGGATTTGTATGCTCAGGTATGGTCAAGTTTGAGTCAATGATTTTCCCAGATGAAAAGTTTGATGGATTTGAACTGATTAATGGGTTTCTTTTTTCAGATTCCATTTCTGCAATTAAAGATTGCTTAAAGAAAAGTTGTATGTAATTGATTTTCTGCTATAATGTTTTGAATTTCTTATTTATATAGTTCTACATATTCTTTGTTTGCTTTTATTTTAGTTGATTGTATTAGTGGTTGCTTTTGTTTTCACCCAGCTACCAAAACTTTGCCTACACTATCCATCTCTGTTCTCCGCCGTCCATCACCGTAAGTCCTTTTTCTTTTTCCAGAATTTTCAATCCTTTTATGTTTCATTTTCTGAAATTTTCATGTTTCTATGCATATATATATATATATATGTATGTGTATATATTGTTAGATATGGGACTGTAAGCAGTAGTGGATTAGTTGGTTCTACTTCTGCATTTCCTCTTCATTAAAATGTTTACTTACCTGCTTTTAAGCGTCTTTGTTTATGTAAGACCGACAATGGGTTAGCGGTAACTCCTTTTTTACATCATATTCCATTCCATAATATTACACTATTGCATCTGGAATAGCAACATTTATTCGGTGTCACCTAGAAAGTTTGTTGATGTATCATGTCATGTTTTTTATAATCTATTTGACATTCCCGCGGCAACGCGCGGGCAACCGTTCTAGTGGTATACTATGGTTCGGTTTCCTCAATGATTTTTTATTATTTGATACGGTACTGTCTATCAAAAGTAAAATCAAATTTGCTGACCAACCTAGCAACATTTGGGCCTTGCAACTCATTAAACAAACATTCACATCCATGGCCCACCATTTTATACACTCATGAGAATTGAGATGGGTTGGATCCAGCCAGCTCTTTCCTCCGATCCCGTGGGCCCCACTATCCTTTTGTCCCTATCCCTCGCCCATTTTAATGAGAGATTTTTTCCCGTGTCAAATTTTATTTTTTTAAATGGGTGATATTATTTATACTAAAAAAAACAAGTGTACTTAACCTAACAATAACTTAGTAATAATGTGGTTCAACCTCATCAGTGTCAAAATTTTAAGCGTTAATTTACATATCATAGTATAAGTAAAGGAAAAAAAAGAATATTTTCGTTTTCCTCTCCCTCTAATTATATATATATATATTAAACAAACGATATTATTTATATTAAAATATGAAGAAGTTGACTAAATTACACCGAACTATCTATAATAATATTATTTAAATTTATCTTTACCAAAAATCCAACAAAATCCCTCCATTTATAATTAAAAAGTTTCTCCATCTTGACCCACACGGACTGTCCTAAAAATCCTCAAATGCCTGGCCTTTGTTCTAATTGCTAAATCTACCCACCCCAGGCAAAACCCAAATTACTCCATTATCCCTAACGTGCGCGCCCTTCCGCTCCGCCCAAAAACGTCAAAACTGATGGTGACCAAAACACCCTTTTTCAAAAGGAAAGGTTACCCTCAATTATTGCGCTCGGCGTGCCTATAATCGTAATTTGAACGTCCCAGTTCTTTCTTTATTCGCGCACATTCCTGTGTTGCTCTACCTCCCTCACACGTCAAAGAAACACCCAAATCCACATTCTCAATCTTCCCTGATTTGATTTCTTCTGATTCTTTTCAATTTAATTGAACACTTTATATCTCTTTTTTTATTTTTTCATCCGAACTTTAGAAATTTTTGGTTTTTCCGGAATTAATTTTCTAGTGCTGTCATTCTTCTGAGCTTTCGATCTCGGCCGTTGGATTCCAATGGCGGCGGGATCAGTGGCGACCGCCGCCGGAGTCGCCGTGATTCTTTACTACGTGTTCAATCGGAGGGGAGCAACGAAAGAGGGCGGCGTTGAAGACGGGGACGACGACGGCGATCGGAGCGGAAATCTCTCGAAGATGAGATCGGCGAGGAAACGGCTTTCTCGGCGACCGGCTCAAGCGCCCGCCACGTGGGTCGAGTCGCTCACCACCTTGTCCGACACGCTCCGGTTCACCTACTCCGAAACGCTCGGGAAGTGGCCGATCGGCGACTTGGCCTTCGGCATTAAGTACCTCATGCGTCGGCAGGTGAGTAATTCGCTCAAAATTGGAGTCCTTTTTCTGCAAATTTCTCTCTTTTGGGGGTTTTGCCTCTGAAAGTTTCGTTATTTGCGTTTAAGTCCTTGCATTTTTGGTTAATTCGCAGGGTAACCTAAAAGTTGCGAGTGTGTATGCTGGTAGTGATAGTGTGCAGCTTAAAGGGTCTGGAATTATTGAGGAGTTGAAATATTACTTGAAGTTGCTGACGCTTTGTATGTTGTTCTCGAAGAAACCGTTTCCGGTGTTTTTAGAGTCAGGGGGTTTCTCTCAGGAAGATGTCCTTCTTCAGAAGCCCAAGGCCGGGGTTAGCAAGCTCTTAACTTACCTGCATTTGCCTACGGTTTATATGAAATTGTTCTACGGGTAATTGGATTGATGTAGATATTTAGTACCGCAGATTAGTGTCAAGGAACTGTGTAAGTAGGCGAATTTGTAGTTAAGCAAATAATACATACAAATAAATAAATCCATGGATTCCAGAAATCCAAAATATTACACTCAACCAATCCATAGATTCACACAAGAGCTGCCCATATTCCGCAGATCCACCATTTACCCACTTCTTCCTTCAAAACCGTGACAAGAATATCATATTTACAAGCCTTTAGTTCCATCACAACCAAAGTTTTCAACTTCGCGAGGCAGCATCAATGGAATAGCTTCAAGAATCTAAATTGATGCAGAAAATGAGAGATGAATATCTGTGTTAAATTAATAGAATGATGATAGTAAAGACTCGCAAAAGATGAACATTTATTTTATTGGACGATTTATGAGAAGTGAAATATGTTCAATTTATTTTTTATTTTTTTTACTTACCTCTGTGTTTTGAGTAATTTATGGTCATGTCGCATACAATGGTCCTCACAATTCTATGTTCCTGTGAAAACCAGCTTTTAGTTTATTATTTTCTGTAAAGTTTTGATTGATTCCTCTATTAATTAGAACAATTATTCTTGCAGCTTCTGAAGCCATCCTTCACAATTATACGTGATAGGAATTCAAAATGCTTCCTTCTATTAATACGTGGTACCCATAGCATCAAAGATACACTAACTGCTGCAACTGGTGCAGTAGCCCCTTTCCACCATTCGGTTTTGCATGATGGTGGAATAAGCAACTTAATCCTAGGGTATGCTCACTGTGGGATGGTTGCTGCAGCCCGTTGGATTGCTAAGATCAGTACTCCTTGCTTGCTTAAGGCTATTGGTGAATATCCTGACTACAAAATAAAGGTAAATGTCATTTCTTTAATTTAAAACAGCATGCCACTTTTTTCGCTTATTTGTCATTTCAAAATTGATCGTATGCTGTCTTGTCGCTTTTCCTGCTTATACCTGTTTTATGCCTGCTAATGTTGATATTTTCATATCAGGTTGTTGGGCATTCACTGGGTGGTGGTACAGCTGCGTTGTTAACATATATTCTTCGAGAACGGAAAGAATTCTCTTCAAGCAATTGCATTACCTTTGCCCCAGGTATGTCTGCTGAATTTCTTTTTGTTAATGGTTCTGCATTCCTTATCCATTTGTTCATGGAAATGCACCTATAAATTATCCATTTGGTCATGGAAATGCGCATATAAATCACATAGATATAAGGTATTAAATATGGGTTGTTACTCTAAAAAAAAGTGTGTGGGGGGGGGGGGGATATCATTTTATGCTTGTAGGTTCTGTGCTTGCTTTAAAATTGTTTCCTGATGTCTTCTGTCTTCTTTGTTAGAAAATGCTCATGTGCCAGTACCTAATTTTCATTTGCAGCTGCCTGTATAACATGGGAGTTGGCAGAATCTGGAAAGCACTTCATCACTACTATAATCAATGGCTCTGACCTGGTGCCTACTTTCTCAGCAGCTTCTGTTGATGACCTCCGCTCTGAGGTACTGTATTTTCTCCAGATTTGAATGGATGCATATTTCGTTCATTCTTGCTAGTCATGAATATAGTGCAGTTCTCATCTGTTAGACATTTCCAGAATTCTCATTAGAATCTGCCATAATCAGGTTATAGCTTCATCTTGGTTAAATGATTTGCGGGATCAAGTTGAGCGCACACGAGTTTTGAATGTTGTTTATCGCTCTGCAAATGCTCTGGGTTCTCGTCTACCATCTATAGCTAGTGCAAAAGCGAGGGTTGCCGGTGCAGGTGCACTATTGCGGCCAGTATCCAGCAGCACGCAGGTAATCTAATTTTTCACTTATTTGATTGACTGTTGACTGTTGACTTGTAGTAATTTGGACGATGTCTTATGAAAAACTATTACTGAAGTGCTGCTACTTGACTCATTTGGTTGAACCAAATTATGCTGGTCCATCTGTTTAAAATTTAGGTTGTCACGGTCCTCACGGATCATCAATTATTTCGGTGCACCCTGCATCATTTTGCAATCTTGCTTCTACTTTATCCGTATTATGATTATGCTTCTGCTTGGTAACTTGCAGATTGTGATGAAGCGTGCACAAAATGTTGTTGTGAGAACCCATTCATCAATCTCATCGTGGTCTTGCATGGGTGCACGTCGACGCAATGTAAGCCCATTACTGAACTCTAAAGCAGACGATTTGCATGAAGATTCTCTCATATGTGAAAAGGATTCTGAATATCGCGCTGAAGGAGTAATTGTGGACCCAATGCTGAATAACTTGGAATCTAGTTCTAGCGGTGGATTGGGTCATGATGACAGCGATGAAGAGGAGCAGCTTTTGCCAGTGAATAGAAATACTGCAACATCTACCGTTGAAGACATTACTGAAGGCGAGTTGTGGTATGAATTGGAGAAGGAGCTCAAGAGGCAGGAGGATGAAGTCAATGTCGAGGCCCGAGAGGAAGAGGCTGCTGCAGTGAAAGAAATAACCGAGGAAGAAGATATGCTGGTTGGTGTTGCAGAAAGCAATACGCCAATCTCTTCCTCGGATGTTTCAGAGAACCACCGCTTCTTTCCCCCTGGCAGAATCATGCACATCATATCAGTCCCTTCATCTGATGATACAAATTTAGATAACGACGGACCACCAGCCGAAGAACGCGTGGGCATATACGAGACACGTAGACAACTGTACAGTAAGCTCCGACTTTCTAAAACGATGATTAATGATCACTACATGCCTATGTATAAGAAGATGGTGGAATTGTTGATCAGGGAACTGGAAAATGACGAATCCAGTAATTGTATCGTGTGAAAAAATTAAAATCCCTTATGTTGCATGCCCTATCCGAGTGCGCTCTGTACAGTTAGATAACTTTAAGATTTTATATCTCTGTTTCTTGATCTTGATCTATGGGTAGAAGTGCTTATATCCACATCCTTGATAAGTTAAGATGACACAAGCACTTTTGGAATCAGCTATTTTACTTGAAATTGTTGATTCCGCATGCTTGGTTTAGAGCCAACTCGGACGCTTATTCGGTACAAAATTTGCAAGTTGGACAGCATCTGGGTTCAACTTTCATCCTAACTAAGTCAATACAACGACGTCGTTTGTAGAACGACACGATTTCCTGTTTTCCGATTACATTACACCCCCTTAAAACGACGTCATTTCTGTAGTTCTCTGTCCCTCCGCGTGCGTAATGATCACCACCACTCTCCATCTCTCGCTCCCTCATCCTCCGTCTTTTCACTCCCTGGCGCGCGGCGCGTGCTCCCACCGCCAACCTCTCTTCCTATCCCACCTCACCTTCCCGACCTTACACATCTCAAAAAACACTCCACTTCATCGGCTTCGACGATCATCTCCGATCGCCATGTCCTCCGATTCCGGCCGATCAAGCTCGCCGGCGACCCAACCGCCGCCAATGGAACTCAACGACGAGTCGGATTTCGAAACCATCGTCTCACCCGACGGCTACATCTCCATCTGTGGCTTCGGTTCCCTCCTCTCCGGTACGTACAATCTTCCCCATCGCCGTCGTTGTTTTGATGAATTTTTTGTCGTTTTGATGAGTTTGATGTTTGCGGGAAGCAGAGAGAAGCGCGAGGAGTACGTTTCCGGAGCTGATCAACTTCAGAGAGTCGCGGTTGAACGGCTTCCGGCGAGTGTATGCTCACATGGCTCCCATTTTCTTCGAGCGTGGCATTGCCAAGCCTGAGACCAAGGTAAAAAACAAAAATCAAAGAGAAATTATGAACAAATTTTTACCCTTTTGTTTTTACTCTGTAAAGGAAATGCTGGGTAAATTCTAGTTGTTGAGTCTGTTTTTACTAATTTATAAATTTGGTACCACATTGCAGGAGATTGCGAGCTTGAGTGTAGAGCCATTTGAAGGGGAAAACCTTATAGTAACAGTGTTTGAGATTAAAAAATCAGAGGTATAGTTATGAAATTAGAGTTAAATTAATATGAAATTAGTGTTAAAATTAATATGAAATTAGTGCTAAATTAATATCCAATCCTTGAAAATTACAAGGAAACTTTGGTAATTCATTCCCAACTCATATGCTAAATCTTACATTGTTAACTTCAGATTCCAGCTTTTATCAAAAGGGAGCCGGAATTTCGATTCCTATCTGTAAGTTGCTGAATTGTTTCTTGCTGTATCTGGTTGTTGGTAAGAAGAGCCTTAAAAAGAGAATAAAGGAAAGCTTAATTTGAATTTATTTGTTCCTGCTGTAGGTTGTGCCTGAATCACTTGATGGGAAGCCCTATGATAAGCGAGCGGTGAGAGTGCAACATCTATATGAGATAGCAATAGCTTCAGTTTGTTAGGGCTTTTTGCCCTTCTCGTTTTGGGTTTAGTTTAGTAATTGGTGACGGTGGTTTGTTGATGTGGAATTAATGCAGGTTCTTTGTGCTCGTTATAGTGATGAAGAATTTTTCAGAGTTAGATGCAAAGGTAAACCTTCTATTGTGCTTAACATAACAGTGTATCCCAGTTTTCATTGGTAGTGAACAATAATGTCTATATAGTTAACTATTAGTTTTCGGATTGCATTGTTAGATATAAAGAAATATCCTTTATGCTTTGGTTTTAGCTCAATGATTGTGCTTACCTATCCAATCTATAATTCATCATGACGTAGTGCGGTTTTGATGCTAATTTGTGCTCTGGTTTTTGTTTTTCTGGACTTCAGGAAGTAAGGAGATGTATTATGAGCTATTTGGACGATATAATATTGATAAGATTTGGCGAGATGACATCTTACCTTGTCGCACTTACCTTCGGCATTGGTAAGTACTAAGTTTAATAATGTGACATGTAATCTTATCAATAAAAGAAATCAGCTCATAGACCGGCTTAATTGCACATGAATGGACCTTGGAATATATTTGAGTGATTTGATTCATTATATGGTTTCTTTGGCTTTTCTCAGTTTCATTTGTACGAATGTGTGATCATAGAACAACATAAATAGTATCCTATTCGGTACAAATTTTGTTAGAACCTTCCTTTTCGGAATTTGATTTTGGGCTCTAAAATGAGCGTGAAAAGCATGCTTATACTCTGCTTTTAGAATATGGTTTCTTTGCCAGCTTCTCCTTGTATGAACTAAACTGTTTGAAACATGCCTTTGTAGTGTGTTAGCAGCAAAGAATCTGAGCGAGGCAGCATACAACAACTTCTTGGATCATACTTTTCTTGGAGACCGTAAAACGACTATCCGTGAGTACTTGGCTACAACAGGTTCGGGCATCATGGAAGAAGAGCCTCCAGAATCCCTCAAGACCCGTTATGGCGGTTAATATTAATAAATCAGACGAGACCATGTGTTTGCGAAGCCTTGTCTAATGTTTCTGAGCTTGAAAGTGATACATCGATTCTTCGAAAGCAGTAATTTGTGTCAATTCGTATCTGAAAGAAGCAGAGGGATTTAATGCTATGCGCTTGCCTTGTGACTTTTCTGTTAAGTTGTGTCATATGAATTTCATGGCTTAGAATGAGCAACATTTTTGTTGCACTTCCACCCTTTTACCCTTTTAAAAATGGTACCCAAAATCCCTAAGGATTTCAGGGATAAAGATCGAGGAATCTTTTTACATAATTTGATTTTGTTATTGAACTGGGAGAATTAGGAAACGGAAGGTCTCGAGACATCTATTAACATTGAGACGAGAAATAGTACCAGACAAAGAGCTGCTTGGTTGGTCAATGAGACCCTTTCTGAAGGATTTGCCTCATTTCTTGGACATGTTTGTACTTCACTTTTATTGGTTTGGCATCACACATTGCATATTTTTCTATAATGCAATGGACCATTGAGTACCTGAAAAATGAACTACCACATTTGAACAATGAGATCTAATTCCTACTATGCGATACCACGGAACATTGTAGCCGCATCCGACTTCATACTAGTTTGGTTAGCTGAAATTAACGGAAAAAAACTGGGACCGTAAAAAAGTGTTTCATAAACACATAAACAGCATTTTCACAATTTTATGTGAAAAAAAGCTAAAAAGCTGAAGCATCAAAAGTGAGCTTCAAGAAACCGTTTCTCCAAAACACGGATGAATAGTGTCATTAAATGAATCAAATTTCCAAACGTACCCTTCCTCTTTCTCTCTTTATTGTATGAGAGCAAAATTTCAGACTTGAAAATTCAGCTTTGGTTCGGCGTCGACCTCACACCTCCTTCCTCCCACCTTTGATTGTTGCTCTTTCATCTCCATATCGCGTTCTCCCTCGTCCTCCCGTACTTCGTTTAAAACAATCACAACTCTTCCTAACGGTTTTTCTTTTAAGTGTACAAAAAGGCTCAAAACAGATATAGTTGCAACTCCAATTTCCCGAAGGTTAGACAAACTTATTGACCAGAAACAAAAAAAAAAGGGTAGATAAACTTTGTCCCACATCGATGAGCGAAGTGGTGGAAGGTTAGAAGCTGGCTATAAGTAAAACGATACGGCGCCGAACCTTAACTAATCTGTCCTGTCAGGGGGTGAAGGATGACTCGTCAATGATCGTTAAAGTGACGGCGGGTCGTGCCAACACCTATTCGAACACACAACGATTCGTACGTGCTAGATCCACCCTACTTCGGTGGACGTGCACGTCAATTTTTGAAAGCCTCGCTGTCTGTGGTGGGGCTCCAATAACTCTGAATGGATATCTTAACCAAGAAAAATGGTGGGGCTCCAATAACTCTGAATGGATATCTTAACCAAGAAAAATACCACCAGCCATTTCCTGATACGTGTATTTTCATCCTGTATACTTCATTAGGAATCAAAACATGTAATTATATTAAAATTTATTAGGAATCAAAACTAAAATTGTAATTATATTAAAATTTAGATATATGTATTTCATTAGTTCTCTAAATATAATTCATATTAAAATTCAAAGTTCTAAAGAACGTTAGGTCATCTTTAATCGATGATCTAATCGATGGCTGACTAGAGAGCTCGTTTTAGCCCTCTGGCCTTCCAAGATTCTCTAAGATATTAATATTTTAATGAACAGTACATGGCTATATTTGTCTTCGTCTCCAACCGAGAGCCAGAGAGCCAGAGGGCTCATTTGAGCCATTTCACAAAAAACCGTCTCCAACCGAGGGCCAAACATAATTTATTATGTTTTTTAAAATGTTGTTTAAGTTTCATGTTGTATAATTTTTATGTTGGTTAATGTTATTTAATGTTGTTTCATATTGTTTAATGTTGTTTCATGTTACTTAATTTAATTTAATGTTGTATAATGACTTAGGAAGTTATAGGAAAAAAAATAGAATTTAAAAAAATATGAAACAAATTTTGTGAACTAGAAGTTACAGAAAAAAATGGAATTTAAAAAAAATATGAAACAAATTTTGTGAAATAGAAGTTATAGGAAAAAATAGAAGTTATATGAAATTTTTTGTAAATAAAAAATAATAATAATAATGTTAAAAAAAAAATCAAATCAAATCAAATGCAACGGCTAGTAGCCGTTTCATTTGAATTTTTTCTTAATAAATCATGTTGGTTATAACCGACATGAATAACAAAACATTAAAAAAAATAGCCAACCTGGGGCTGGCTGGCCAAAAACAGCTAGCCCTTTGGCCCTTTGGCCCTTTGAAATTCTGTGGGCCCCTCCCAGATTCCCGAGCCCTGGCCTAACCCTCGGTTGGAGACAGTTTTAGGGTTTTTTTCAACCATCTAGCCCTCTGGACCCTTTGGTTGGAGATGGCCTTAGGTGTTGGTTAGGTGACGGATTGAGGTTTAGCACCTAGGTGATTACGCTAGGGATTTAGACGAACTAAGCGGATTTAAGTAAATTTTGATATATCATAAATAAGTGTATTTATACTTAAAAATGTGCATAATTGTATTGAGATATATAAATTGCAAAT